TCTCCAGTGTCCTTAATGTGGATATGATTTTCCTTTAGCAAGGACCATAAAACATAGAGGCCTTTCCTGTAGCACATCCATCAGAAAGCCTTGTAACAGAGACAAGACTCATCACCTCTTTGAGATCCAATCAAGATTATAGTCTTTGTAAAGAAAGAAACTTTTATTACATATTTTTATCTCTCCTGTCAACTAGCACAATCCCTAGTAGGGTGGAATTGAATTTTTAAAACCACTGTCAACAATAGCTTCTGAAAATGATGCAGTAAACATCTTACCTGCTCATAGACTATACACACAAACCTTAAAGGAAAAATACTCTATCAATCAATATCTTACCCTAAAACATATTGGTATTATCATCATCAAAATCAGGCTCTTCAGAAATGAAAGGCGACGGCAGAAAACCTTAAGACTGTAGAGGTGATTGTGTTTTGTTTTCACCAGATATGGCAAATAACATGAGGAGTTGCCATATGAGGATATTTTAACCTGGGAGGAAATATGGACTTACTGTGGTTTCTTGAGAAGAAGTATGATATAAGGAAAGCAATGTTTCAGAAACACCCTCTGGACAATGAATACAACACAAATCCCAAGGGGAAAGTGAGCGGCCACTTAGACGTGTGGCCCAGCAACACCGCGTGAGGAGGAGCAGAGGAAGATCTACGGCAGCAGAAACAGAGGCAGAAAGGTCACGTTGAAACAAAAGAAGGCTTAAATGTGAAAGTACAACACGAGTCCACTTAGGTGAGCAACAAAGAAAAGAAGAAATCAAGTATTTTAGAAATCAATTCTATCATGTAACTTTTAACAGTACAGTTAGTTCTCACTAAGCATCATGGATAGGTCCTAAGACTTTAAGTGAGATGACATGTGATAAAATCAAGTTTACCACAGGCTAGTTGATGTAAACAAGAGTTAAGTTCCTACAGCATCTCAACAACATTCAGGAAATGACATCGACCAAAAAGACCTTATTCATGGACCTGCCATATAAGATTTATCTGACATCACCTCCAGCAAAACTGGCTGAGGCTCCCAAAGCCCTCTGTATGCCTCCATTTAGCAAGCCGGGGGAAGTCTGCTTTTCTCATTCAGCTAACCTGGAACCACTTGAGGTCAAGGACCATGGCATATGCATCTTTATAACTAGTCCCTCGCACAGTGCAAGGCATACAGCAGGCCAAAGAAAAGCGTATGGAACTGAACTGATGATCATTTGTTAAAAGTAAAAGGAAGCACTTGCACTTGCAATCAAAGGGTGCACTTGTGGGGTAGCGAATACAGAGATGTGTGAGTAGGGAGTCTTCCACGGGGAGCAGTATTACTTCTTTCTCAGAACGTTTGCAGCTACAGCGTAACCTCGTTAAGGGCAGAGTTCGACATTAGTTTGAATGTTCCACAGCATCGATCACAGTCATGAACATGCAGGGGATGTTCAATTAGGATAATTTTTAAATTTTTTAAAAGAACAGACAATAATAAGTTAGTCTCTTTCATTAGTCGTGTGTTATCATAAAATATTTAAGTATTAAGATAAAGTCCAATGTCCTCAAAACCATTTGAAATTTTCCCCACTCGTAAATGTTCTTTCTATATAGAGAAAACTACTCCAAGAGGTGACATGGTTGAGCTCTTATTCTTAGAAATGAGGAAAGTATTTTTCTAAAGAAAAATAACTTAAGGTTTTCCTTGAATCTGGTGTAAAAGGAAGAAGAGTTAGGCTGCGGCTTATCCTAGTTAAGTGAAAAAAGTCTCCCTGAAAATATAAGGCTAAAAATACAATTGGATTATGAAAATGTATCTTTTCCTCAGTGATTCGTTGCTTCAGTTTTCGTGGTTACTTTCAGTCATCGCGATTTCTATTTACACTCTTTCAGTTAATCTTATCAGTTCTCCTAAAAGAGATTCATTTACGAACGAGTCATATTTTGTATGACAAGTTGCGAACTACTCATCCAGCCCAGGGGTCAGCAACCTTCTTCTGTTCAGGGTCAGAGAAGTCGTTAGTTCCGGCTGTGCAGGCCACATGCTCTGTCGTAACTTCTTGGTTCTGCTGTGGCCGTGGGAAGCATCCATGATAACACAGTAGCATATGAGCATGGCTGTGTTAAAAACACACACACAACAACAACAAAACAGGCCGAGAGCCAGAGTTAGCCCATGGCTATAATTTGCCAACCGGTACTTTACTCCACTATTCTTACTTTTATTATGAAATTTTTCAAATATAAAAACCATATATTGTCCCTTAGATTTTACAATTGTTAATATTTGGTCATATTATTGCTGGATTATCATACAGAAAATGTTGCCTCTGCATAATTAAGCATGTATCTTTAAAAATAAAGACATATTACTACATAACCTAATGAAATTGATAGTAACTCCTTAACAGCCCATACTTAAATTTCTTTAAATATCCCTAAAATTATTCCTATAGCTTTTCTGTTCAGATCAGAAATCCAATAAAGGATGAGACATTGCATTTGATTATTGTATATTGACAGGGAAGTCTCTGTAATCTAAAGCAGCAGCCTCCGGCGCCAGCCATGTCTAAGTGATTCACTGAGGAAGAGTCTAATTTTAAACAATGTGAATGAGATCTGGAATCAATACAAGCCTAGGAACATTAATATAATGGCAAGTACCAAAATGTCTCTTTATAACGTATTTACCTCAATTTCTTCTCTACTTTCAGGATTTATTATTGTTTCACTTATTTTTACACAATTTGAGAGCTGATCAGTATAGACTAGACCAGGGGTGGGCAAACTTTTTGACTCGAGGGCCACAATGGGTTCTTAAACTGGACCGAAGGGTCGGAACAAAAGCATGGATGGAGTGTTTGTGTGAACTAATATAAATTCAAAGTAAACATCATTACATAAAAGGGTACGGTCTTTTTTTTTTTTTAGTTTTATTCATTTCAAACGGGCTGGATCCGGCCCACGGGCCATAGTTTGCCCACGGCTGGACTAGACACACATATAAAGTCAGAGGTTCACATATAACATAAAAGCATATTCCGTGGAAATGTATGAGTCCATGCTATGGGTGCTGTGTAGATGGAGGGAGATAGAACAGTCAATTTAATGAGGCTTAGAAAATTCTAGACTATTACAACCCATCACCTTGAGTGAAATATGCTGACTATTTCGTCTTTCATGAAGACATGACAGCAACCCAAACTGTGAGCAAACGTAGAAATGTAGGCGCTTGAGATATCCTTCTAGAATTTGCAGTGCCTTATGGGAGAGGGAAAGTCCCTTCCCAGGAAAATCTTGATGCCTGTGAGGAAAATCTGTCAGTTTACCAGGGAAGTTCCAAACAGAAAAATACCCCCAAATTTCATAAAATTTCCATGAAGTGAGAACTGGCTGGAGGCTCACTTCATGAACAGTGTTCAGAGTAGAAACAGGGCGCAGAGAGGAGACCAGATGGAAACAGCAAACGTGAGTAGCACAGGGATGTGCAGTGTGTGTGAGCTTGCAGCTAAGGAGGCTGGGAAATGTGAACACGGAAACGAGAGGGCTCCGTGTTGCCTGTGTTCTAAAGTATCTCAACTCGTCAGCATTCGAGAATGGGATCAATAAGGAGTCGGGAGAAAGGACTGGGCCCCCTGAGGTCATAGGAACCCACAGAAAAGGGGACCCCAAGGTGCTGATTGGAAACTGGGGCAGGGCTAGCATGCCCTCAGTTAGAAAAGGAGTTGAATGTATGAAGAACAGAGGAGCTGAGGCAAAGAATCGGATAGAAGACAAAGAACGGTGCCATATAGTAACCACTGGCCACGAGTGGTTATTTAAATTAAATTAACTAAAATTAAATAAAGTTAAAAATTCAGTTTCTCAGTCATCGCACATTTCAAATGCTCAATAGCCATAGGTGGTTAGTGGCTACCAGACTGGGTAGCACAGGTAGAGAACATGTCCCCATTTCAGAAAGTTCTATTGGATGGTGATGTGCCAAGGACATGAAAATGAGCAGGAAAGAGAAAGCAGCAGAGGAAGGGGTGAAGGAGGAGGGGTCCATAATCTCCCTTTCCCATCTGTGCTCAATATCACGTGACGGGCCGGACAGCCGCCGCTCTGCGACCTTGGGGTTCCGCCACGCCTCTCCGGAAGGGCTGCAGGGGCTGCTGCTCGGGTTGCTGGAGCCGGGCATGGAGTGAGGGCTGGAGCCAAGGCTGGTCCTGGGTGAAGAGGGTCTGTGCACACCCGAGAGCCATGCCCAGAATTCAAGGTCCAGAAAGCATTCACTTGCCGCTGAAAAGATGCGAGAGGAAGCTGGCGCACCTCTGCTGTCCGTGCATGCTCACACAGTCCTCCCGCTAATACACTGCTCGGACACGTCGCGGGTGGGCTCGCTTTCTGTTCTGTTGTACTTCTTAATTCTTTTATATTTTGACACTCACTTTCTGTCTTCCTCGACTAGTAAGAAATCTGGCCTATTTCCTTTTATTTCATTATTTATTTCAACCAGTTCTAATTATAAGCATTCGTATTCACGGTAAGTAAGCATGGGCCGCCCATCTCCTTCCCTCTACGCTCCACGATGGATGGCGTGACGTTTCAAACCTCTGCTGTCACCTTTGTCACACATCGGCAGTGAAATGACAGTGTTCAGTAGAAGCTCTGACTCGCCTTCTCTCGAGGCCATTGCTAGCACCCTTTTGATCAGAACCAACTTTATCCCATCCAGTCCGTCTCTTGTCCCAGACTCCCCTTCAACTCGCACAGCCCCCCTGCCACTCAGGATGCGCACCCTGGGCATGGACATGGCGAGGTGCAGCGCATCTCCCAGGAGCATTGTCAGGCGCTGCCTTGAGAGTCGCAATTCATCTCCACGAACCGCAGGCTGCTGGGTCCCATGTGCCTGTGTGGGCAGCTGCTCTGCTGTGCGCTCCCCGTGTGCTAATTGGCTCGCTCCCCGTCCTTGGCTCTGAGCTTGGGAACCGCACTGACTTTTCACCCACCTCACCTGACGAGCAGCTTTCTGAGCTCCCACTGGTATGCCAGGCACTGATCCTCACCTAAAATTACCCACAGGACTTTAGTTAGAGGTTTTTATTGCTTTCTTTTCCTCTGACCATGATATTGTACTATTTCTTACCCCACCTGAAAAAGGCAAAACTTCAGAGAGAACAAACATGCTGGGGAGAGAAGATGATCCTTTAGAGAAAAGAGCACAGGCTGCCCTGGACTGAGGCTGGCCGCCTGAAGGCAGAGGACCTCGGAATTGTAAGTATCAGAGTTCTGCTTGTGTGAACTATTGCTTTAAAAAATCCCCACTCTTCACATTAGCAAATTGTTTGCCCCCTAGAGAACTTTGAAAATGACTGAATGTTCCCTGGCATCCACTGAAATGGAGTCTATGGTTTTCTCCTGTGCCTGCGCGTCTGGCTATAAGCGTGGGCCACGGTCCCCTTTGAATACTATGGGCTTGCATCCAGACTACACTTGCCTTATTAATACGGGAGGGAGCTCAGCAACCTGTGAGCAGAGCAGAGGGGGTGGGGGGTAAGCTCCTGCCAATGCCATAATTCTCCATATTTCTGACTCTGTTAAATGCCTGCCACTGGAACCAGTCAGTAAAGGAGCGAACCGTCCCTGTCCTCCCGAGAGCTGCCTCACAGCTGGGAGGAGGGTGTGTCCCTGAGCTTTTACCTGGGAGCAATGATGATCTTGTCAAGCATTTTAGTGAGACCAGCCCAAGTTTTAGGGTGGGGATCTGGACTGGTTATACGTACCTTCGGTCCTTCTCCCAGCGAAGGCAGAAACACCTCAAAGCCTGCATGTAGGAACACCTACTGAGAAGTTATTTCCATCAGACACCGGCCGGCCGAGTGGGGGAAAGCAAAGGAAGAGAGAACCACCAGACTCCAGGCCTGGATGTAAGAGAGCCGGGCAGCGATGGGCTGGCACATCAGGATCGCTGCGGCGCTGGTCACCCTTCTGGTGAGTGGCTTCTGCCAAAAACCCTGCATGATGGTTCGTGTTGCAAACCAGGGTGAACTTTTCAGAAAGTGCTATTCGGCGTTATTTCTAACTTAGACCCATCAAAAGTTTATGTTAATGACCAGGTGATTTTATGGACTAGGTTTTTAAATAGTGCTTCTCTCTTTAATTGAAGACCAGAGATCACAGTAAGGCATCAGTGTCCACTCATCACATGTCATCTCTGACATGGAAGTCATTGCTAAGTCATTCTGAGAAAACATGGAATTTGGGAAAGTCACCTGGCTATTTCATAGCACTTTGCTGTTCAAATTCTCTCTCACAGCTGGGCTGTCAAAGTCATAGCACAGGTGTGTCCTGATTTTTAATGTAAACATTTTTTTTCATTCTTTTGGTATCTTTGCTGGTAGATTCACTATAAATTTTAAAACATAGAAATGGGATCCATATACATTAGAATCATAGCTGCCTGTGACTGGCCTCACTATCCAATTAACCTCATCGGCTTTATATGTGGCTGGGATCCATATCTCTAATATCGAGACCCCACTCTGAATTTATTTAAAACAATCTTTTTACTTTAAAAAATGACATTATGGGAGATTTAGAAATGACAGAGTAGGGGAAGGAAGAGCTATAATTAAGAAATAAGTATAATTATCATAATACTCATTCTTACTAATGGAAAATCACTAATGACTATGATATACAAGATGTACATTGATGATCAGACAAATGTAATGAAATGTTTTATCACTGTCCTCTTTAGACGTTATTAGTTTTCTCTTATTAAAGACAACCCTAAATACAGCGCCAATGTGTTGCCTCGATTTCACTGATGTGAAACATTTTTGAATCGCCGTCTCTCAAACAGTAAAAGGTTAATGTAACCCACAGAGGCAAGTGCCGCTTAAATCGCAATCCAATTTGGCAGGATGTGTGTGGTGCTGTGGTTCACATTTGTTTCTACTTGCTTAATTTTAAAACTGGATTGTTGGGTTTCATAATAACAAGTTAGATCTCTGATTCAAAGTATGCTGCTTAGTTTTAGTTCAGTTTATTCATTAAGATATGTCACAACCAGTGGATTTTGTTGTAAATGAGCATCAATAAGCTGCTCATTTAGTACAAGTTGCCCCTTTTTTTCTATGATTTTATGTCAAGTTGCCCTTTAAGCATGAGCTCTTCCATGGATGTTTTCATGGCTCTCTAGGTCCAGGTGATGTCATAACCTGGGATGTGGCAGGGACTAATGAGTGTTATGCGGTACATCATTTGAACACAGGAGCATTTGTACATTGTGAAATGATATAATACTTTATTTTTCCTTTATATCATTTGATCTATTAAGTCCTATGATAGTTACAGTTGGTTCAAGGTTTATTCATGGAATAACTTTCATTGAATCTGTAAGACACGTTATTTCATTATTTTATGATTATTTTTAATTAATTACATCCTATAAAATTTCTATAAACAGTCCCTTTCCAATTAGTCATTCTTCAGTATAATGTATCATTTTATCCAAACGTATCCTTATTGAACTTTCATTCTTTGTAGAGGTTTCTGGACATTTGTATTTTATTTTTTGAGTCTTGATAGGTTTCTTTTGTGTGGATTATTTGTTTATTTATTTGGTTTTTGCCATATTTTACTTTAGAATCAATCAAGTTTCTCATATGCCTTAAGAAAATTATTTTTCAAAGAACTTACTCTATGGTGAATTAAATGTTTCACTTTTACATTATTATAACATTTTTATAAAACGTGTCACTTTCTAAGGTTTGTAAAAATTACAATTCCTTTTTGCTACTGGTTTTACCAGGTAATTTAGATAAATGTCCTTTGGGGTTATGCAGTCTATGTTTGCTTTGAAATACTCTTCTTCTGAAGATTAACCACCACCATAGCCAACTCTTCCCCTTAGCTTTCTGCTAGCCTCACTGTGAATCTTTGAGTTCTCCAAAAAAATAGGAAGGAAGGAAGGAAGGAAGGAAGGAAGGAAGGAAGGAAGGAAGGAGGGAGGGAGGGAGGGAGGGAGGGAGGGAGGGAGGGAGGGAGGAAGGAAGGGAGGGAGGAAGTGAAGGAGGGAGGGAGGGAAGGAGGGAGGAAGTGAAGGAGGGAGGGAGGGAAGGAGGGAGGAAGGAGGAGGGAGGGAGGGAGGGAGGGAGGAGGAGGGAGGGAGGGAGGGAGGGAGGGAGGGAGGGAGGGAATGAATTACACCTTCCTCTGCTGGAAATTGATAAGTGAAAGCCTGCCATAGGGAGCCTAGTTGGACGATTCTGAAAGCCCTTAAGACATTTGGACTGGTGGTATCTTTAATGCAAGTCCATGTGAGAGCTGGGCAGCCACCTGTTTGCAAGCATGCTGTGCAGTCTTCTCAATACACCGGGAGGGATGGACCTTGCTGAAGTTAGGGGGTTAGCTCTGGAGAATGAAGATGAAGAACCAACCTGCTCTTACAGTGGCCGACATTGCCACAGGGTGATTCCATTATTTAGACAAGTCTCTGGGACAGACAATGGCTTACACCTGTTATAACACAGCGAGCCAAATAAATGTTATTGATTCTGCATTTATTTTTCTTTCCTTTTTGTTTCCGTGATATCAGTGTGTGGAGGGGCATTCTAGGCCAGAGAACAATGTTACCTATGCACCAATATAAGAAGTCTCTAAGAAGGTTGTGACAATGGTATGAGGTATGGCATTGTCACTGTGGGAAAGCAAACTAGAACCAGTAGAATTTTTATAGTTCTAATGATTTCTAAATGATAACTTATAACTTTGCCAGGTTCAATCAATACACTTTCAAGGTGTCTTCTTCTATAAAGGCCAACTTCTGCAGCAACGAACGCAAATAAACCATTCTTTAGTGCCAAGAATGATCCCGTTTCTTCAGTACATCACACTAGCCTAACTTCTTCTCTTTCCATGGTTAATATTTCCTCTAAAAAACACACACACAAACAAACAAACCTGCAACCACCTGATAAACTAACTCCACTCTTTCAACTTAACTGAAAGTATTTAGTATTTAAGCAGGCATTTATCTGAGTATTTCTCAGCACTCACACAAAAATACACAAAAAATAATAGAGGGGTGGGCCAAAGTAGGTTTGCAGTTGTGAGTGCGTGAAACAGCTTATTCTTGAATTATTATTTACTCATTATTGTATTATTTATTTGTATCAGAACTGTAGGCCTACGTCTGCCCACCCCTGCATATGCTTTATTCATAGTTCATCAACTTGTTTGAACTGGGCATCTTAAGTCCCCATTACTATGTTTACTGATGCGTAGCACAAGGGAAGAGCTAGCAAACTACTACAGACTAAACAGAAGACAAGCGAAACAGGGGATTCCTATGCTTTCTTGAGCACATATTACAATGATGTATATTATAGATGTTAGTATTCCAGTAGAAATTTTTTTTTCTGTTCGCCTGTTTAGTAAAATTTACAAACTGAATTTAACAAGATCATTGCCATTTACCCGGCGCTCCCCACTGTAGGTTTCAGACACATTTAGGACCAGCATCTCCTTTCGCCTTAGGAAAAGGGGGTGGGCAAATGTCTCACCATATAATTGGTTTTCGTTGCCACACAGTCAAACATGTCGCCATGCCTGGGTTAGGCAACAGAAGAACCCAAGGCCTGGGACAATGCTCCCTTGATGGAGCTGAAGGCTGGGCCCCTCAGGGCCAAGAGACACCTATTTCCCAAGGCTCCTGAGTCTAGAAAACAGCCCTGTTGTCCATCCCCAAAGCACGTGATTTCTGGTAACTCTTTCTTCACTGTGCATTCCCAGAGGACGCCGTGGCTGACCTCCCGTGTCCTGAGAGGCACTGCCTGAGTGCCACAGGAGGCACGCTCCGCCTGGCAGCTCCGTCAGTGAGGGAACTCCCTTCAGAACGCTGGGCAGCCACCCCTGCTGACGACGCTTGGCATGCAAATTCCTTTCCTGTGGTTTAGATGCCATTGGCTGCAGATCCTGCCCTCCCTGGTCTGTGAGAATAGAGCTCCGTGTTTCACACTTGTCCAATGTAAAGCCACATCCCACTAATGAATGGCTGCCTGCTGCTCCTAACACTACTTGACTGTCAGCTGGCTGAGGGCAGCTTCTGGCCGACTCACTGTTGTACCTTTCACAGTGCTCTGCGCCGATGCAAGATTGCGCGATGGATGTCTAATCTCACCACGTAGAGGCATCAGAAGGGAATTTGGGGATAGTTTATATTTCGCTTCCCTCATGCACTCCAGAAATGTGTCAAGGTATTAAACATGGAAATCATCACGTTGAGGTTCCCTAGCACTTTTTAAATGGTGTATTGTTACATTTATTTTACATTTCCTCTAAGGCTTACTTACCATAATACTTTTAGGGCTTAAGCTCCTTAAAGGTCTTACTAAAGCCTTGGATCCCCATAATACACATTCAATATATATTTGTCAAATAAGTAAATGAACCAATGAACAAATAAAATAAATCAAGAGGACTTTTTTTAAAGAAGCAAATTATTATATTTTAGCTTTATCGATAAGAGTTAAATACATTAGACTCGATGCTTAACAAAAACTGTCAAGTAACTGGAAGACCACTTCACAATTATGAAATGGAAGAAGTTTTCCTTGAAAAAATTATAAATTACTACTTTCGAGGTGATTTTGTTACATACAAAGAAATATAAAAGTCAATATTAAAAGAAAAGAACCAAAAATGAGTATAATTAGAGCAGTGGTTCTCAACCTTCCTAGTGCCGCGACCCTTTAATACTGTTCCTCATGTGGTGGTGACCCCCAATTTCATTGTTACAAATTGAACATAATTAAAGTAGGGTGATTAATCACAAAAACAATATGTTATATATGTGTTTTCCGATGGTCTTAGGCGACCCCTGTGAAAGGGTCATTCGACCCCCAAAGGGGTCGCGACCCACAGGTTGAGAACCGCTGAATTAGAGAATCATTGAAATGAGCATCGATTTTGTGTTCTGTGGTTGCTGGTGTTTTGTGGGGGGGCAAAGGGGGGTTGTTTGTTTTGTTTATATGTGTATTGGCTTCTAAATTAGAGGTGAAGGGACGAGTCATTGAGGATTCACTTCAAGCGACTTCTTTATTGCTCTTAGAATTTTGGGACTTAAAAACAAAGGCTTTAGTCTCATATACAAATGAGGAAACTGAGGCACAGAATGACTAAGTGACTTACCCCAAGGTCCATATCCAGAGGCAAGAGAGCTGAGATGTGCTCAGTAAGCTTGACAACCCTGTATTCATCTCTAAGTGAATCTCCCTCACAGCCTCCTCAGAACGTATTCCCAGGTTATTTCAGAATCCGAACTGCTCCCCCAGTTACCAGAAAAATAACCTCGCCCTTACTCCAGGGGCAGGGTCTGGATCCTCCAGTATGATGCCCTCCAATTTCCCTCTCCTAATTCATTGATTTTAATCTCCATCTCTTCACTCTTCCCCTCCCTGTCTTCAGAGCCCTTTCTTTCTGCCGATCCCCTCCTGGTCATCACAATACCTCTAGCCAGTACTTTCTCAACCTTTCCTGCTTCAGCTCAAAATCTCCTACTCTCCCCTTTCTCAACCTTTAAAAATCCGCATCTCCCTCTCCCCAGATAGCTCCATGGACACTGTCTAATTCTGCTATTGCCTCTATTTCCTTATACCACCAAATTTCTCCCAAAAAAGTGGCACCCTTATGTCCTCTTCTCTATCTTGTCAGTCAGGGAGAGCTTGCTCCATCCAATTGAAGGCATTCTCCTAAAGGTCACAGAACTCTTGAAGGTCACAGAAAACTTCAGGGTTTTCTCAGGCTTCACTCTGCTCGCCTTTTTTTTATATCATCGGACACATGTTCACACTGTATGTGTCCTTCAGTTCTCCCTTCCTTTGACAACCATGGCATTGCATTATATTTTCCTCCTATTTCGCTGGCCACTTCTTTTCTACCTCTTGCTGTTTCTTGTTTGTTGTCATTGTTCCCAGTTACATAAATATAGGAATTCCCCTGGTTTCATCCTCAGCCACAGGCTGCTGCTTTGCTGTATCCTCCACTTTAGGGATCTCAAACTCTCCCACGATTTAAACCATCTTACCTGAGCAGGTGTCTCTCAAATCTGTGTATCAGGCCCGAACTATTGTTCATGGTGCTGACACATATTCCAATCGCTGAACATTTTCACTGGGCAGATCTCTAGCATCTAGGTTTGTTCTAACCTGCCAGATCCTGCTTCTGCCTCGTTCCTGATCTCCAGGTTTACTTCCCTCTCTTCACGCCCACATCCCACCTTTTCTCAAACCCCTTGCATTTCAATCAAGCAGTATCTCTCCTTTGATCTCTCCCAGTCTCTTCCCACTGCCACTGCTGCTCCTCATCCCTGGACTGACTTGATGCAGAAACTCAACTGCTCCCAGCCTGTAATCGCTGCCTCTTCCCACTGCCTCCCTCAATTGCTGTCGGTCATCTTTTAAATTCACAGCTTTATCATCCATTTCCCATGATCAAGAAACTTCAATGTTTTCCTATTGCACACAGGGAATCGGTGTTAGAATTCGAAAGGTAACTGTATATAATCCAGGCAACTCCTGTCATTTTATGAATGAGAAAACTGCAGCTCAGAGAATTTAGGAAGTGCATTGAAAGGTTTCTGACTGTACCAAATGCTCTTTTTACCTCGTTATTTTGCCTTTCAAAGTCAAAGAGTGACTTTGTTTCAGAGATTATTTTAGCCTGAGCAAAAGGCAATCTGGTTATGTCCACACGACATATTTTTAAGCAGACCTGGCAGTTTTTTAATTACCAATCTAATTAAGAGCCTGACTGTATGGTGAAACCTGCTTGGTCTTCTGCCCAAGTTGCCTCTCATGGGAAAAACAATGACCCAGCTTTGTAAAGTCAGGTTAGTCATCGTCATCAGGCTAGTTCTCCAAAGCAAACAGTGACCCTGACACTTCATGCGGTGAGGAAGTGCCAGACAGATAGCAGGTGAATACCCAATCTGAAGCTATGAAGAAATGGCAGACAAATAAGGGAGCCTCGCACCCCCACCCAACACCCACAAACGAGAGGACCAAGTGCTCATGAGTTCACGGCAGCAAGAAGCAGACAGCTGCATTAACACGGGTTCATTTCCGCACTCAAGTCGGATTCTACAATACCATTTCAGGTCCTTCTCCAACCATGTGGGCCATTTACATTTCTTACATACACACACACCCCAGTATTACTATTATTATTGTTATTATTGTATATCATATGAGATTAGATTCTTAATCACAAGGATAATATGAGATTAAAATCAGGATTTTTATTTGAATTCTCAGAATTGTAATGTCAGTCATCTATAGTATATTTTATTTAGTAATTTATGTAAAATAGGCTATCTTGCACTTAATTGTAAAACCCATACCTCAAGCACAAATTTAGATTGAATTGTATTGGATTGTATTTAGCCATAAATTAATATGGAAACCTCAATTTCCTCATCTGTAAAGTGAAGATAATTATAGTATTGACCACATGTACTTGTGAAGATGAAATGCATGGGTTTCTCTAAACATGTTGTCTAGTATTTAGTTATCATTTAGGGAATTGTAATGGTGATAATGATCATGATTAACATTAAATATATACCATGAGTATGTAACTCCTATAATAAAAATATTATCATTTTAAACTACTCATATTAACCATAATATAAAGTTTCTTGAATTATCAATTATGGTGATTTTTTATAATGTACATAAACACTAAAATTTTATTTTTTATTTTTTATTTTTTATTTTTTATTTTTTTTAAATATATTTTATTGATTTTTTACAGAGAAGATGGGAGAGGGATAGAGAGTTAGAAACATTGATGAGAGAGAAACATCAACCAGCTGCCTCCTGCACACTCCCCACTGGGGATGTGCCCGCAACCAAGGTACATGCCCTTGACTGGAATCGAACCTGGGACCTTTCAGTCCACAGGCCAATGCTCTATCCATGGAGCCAAACCAGCCAGGGCTAAAATTTTATTTTTAACTTAATGGTGAAATTAAAATTCACTATAAAAAAGTAATTTACTCTATTTTGAAATTACTATTATGTGTCAGTATTTTTTAAAATACAAACCATAATTTTATTTTATTAGTAACACAGATAAAGCCTGTTTGCAATAATAGTTTTCATACTTTGCAAGTCTAACAAAAGTTCAAGGAGAAGTTAAAAATGTCCCCTTTAGGCAGAAAAACAAACTCAAGATTCACACTGCATTTACTAATTCTAAGTGCAATTTAAAACTTAATAAATGCAATCTAGCCTTCAAGTTCACACCTAATTTTTAGATAGATATTTACAATGTCTTAAGTATGTTGATTATTGAATGTATTACATAAGTATTTGTGCTTTTAGAAATGCCTTTGGAGTTTAGGGGAAAATAAGTTAAATGACCCTGTTTTAACTCTACAAATCATTCGTAAAGATCAAAGCCAGACTGAGCTGGACATGCAGCCTCTGCTTGACTTGCTCACACTGATGCAGGAGGAAAGATGGATGGAAGCCGCCTGCCCAGCAATTTGCCCCACACTCCTGAAATTCCTCTCCTTCCATGGAAGGACGCACTCACATCATCTATTGTGTCCAGTGCGAACAGTAAAACATCAAACATGAGCTCAATTTTACACAGAGAAAATTATTTGCTTTTATTTTGGAACTTTATAGTCTCATTTTTCCAAGCAAGTACAAAACTTACCATCTTAAGATTTTCAAGAACAATAGAAAAGCATCCATTTCGAATTGGAATGTGAGGAAGCAACTATTTTGGAAGCTCTCTGGATATTTTCTGCTTCGTATTCTTTCTTCACCCCAAAACATTTTTTCCTATTTCCACCTGTGACCACTCAGATGCTAAAACTGTAGTCAAAACTTTCAGTATCATAACTTATGGTTGAACATCTCCAGCTCTTCAGGCATAAGAAGAGAACCCAAGCTCCCAACCCTCATTCCCACTGGCTTATAGCTTCAAATGTCCTAGCTCATATGATTACAAGTATCTGCATAGGATAGAATTTTAAAAAAAAGGTTAAAAATAAAAGTAACTAAAAAAAGAAGAGAGAAATTGAAAAGTAAAAACCAAAAGGAAAAGAATCCTTCCGATCATTATCAGACCTGAGAGATAAGCTGATCCACCTGCTATCCAGACAGGAAATAATTTTAATGACGTGAATTTGACTTTTTAATGATTTGATAACATAAATTGTAAAGCATTTAGTTAAAAATTAACTATTGTGTTTATCTTATTTTTTTATAGGTGTTGGTGGAAGTTAACAGTGAGTTTCGAATCCAGGTAACATACAGCAAATTTACTTTTTCAAATTAAAAACAAAGAAAATGATTTGGGAGTAACAACATATCCCTGTGCCTCACCCCACCACCCACAAAAAAAATCATCCTTATAAGTAAGGTTAATGTTATGCTAAAATTAACAGAGTATCAGAATTACCCATCTTCCCAAAGAAGCACCTTTCTGACATACAATGACCCCTCCCACAGCTTCTTTAGTAGAACGTGAATTCTGAATACAAGTTAATAAGGTACCATTACTTTCCCCTGCCCGTTCAAGGTCAGAGATTATAACGCTAAGAATGGCACCATCAAGTGGCACTCCATCAGGAGGCACAAGCGCGAGTGGATCAAGTTTGCAGCAGCCTGCCGGGAAGGCGAAGACAACTCAAAGAGGAACCCAATCGCCAAAGTAAGTCTCAACCCCAAAACAGCAACTCGACAATCAAAATGGATGATGTTAACATTTCAAAAGAACCTGCCCTTTACATAGTTTAAGAACATACCTGACTGAGAAGTCATGATATACAACAGAATGACAGTCATTCAGATCATGAAAGTTGAAGCCATTAAAGAGATAAATTAAGAAATGTAGGCACTCATGTAAACGGTTAAATATGGACTCACCGTACTGGTGAAATTAACATACACAATCATGTGTTACCCCAGACTCTGGATTTTAAAAATATAGTGTGTTACCACTCATCATATTTACAGGAACAATTTCAACATGTGCTCTCTCTACCTCACAATCTGTTCGAATTAAACTCCTACTTTTGGCTTGTTTATGAACATTCACAATGTACCTTTTTTCAAAAAATCTTTCTCCTTTCACTTTCCCTTACATGTCTTTATACACACACACACACACACACACACACACACACACACACACACAGAGGCACATTCAGAAACACAAACCCACACACAGATTCATTCATATACAAATATATATCCCTACACAGACAAACATAACACTTTCACTTAGATACACACAGAGACACTCCCCATACAATATTTTATTTCAATGAACAGAGTCCTGGTTTCTGCAACCATTTCTTTGGGGTGGTCTCTTTACTTTTCTGCTAATACTACCTCCCCAATTTCAGAATTAAAAGCTTTACATGTAGTCAGGTATCTTTCGTTACCTACCTAGGTCCACCTCAATCTTCACATTTGAAATGGAAGATCAAGGTTATATAATGACAACATTGGTCAACTCCTCAAGAGGGCAAGGAGTTCCCTACTCTAGACCAATACCAGCACAGAGCCTGAAAATAATACCATCAAACTATAAATGTTGAATGAATGAATGAATGAATGCATTCATGAATGATGATTGCATAGACTTAGATATATTAGGGTGATATTTTACTTTTTTATTATTTGGTAAAAACACAATTGAATTTCTTCTATTACATTATCAGTTATCACTGAAAAATACTAGCACTGTAACTATTCCACTATCTAGGAAAATAATTCTCTACTTCCAGAATTTCCCCCCAAATAACTGGGATATCAGGACATTCAATAACTCTCAAAAAAGACAGCTATTACATATGAAACAGCAGATTTTTTTTTTTTTTTTTTTGCATCCTGTAATAATTTCACTTGTGCTCTTTCTGCAGATTCATTCAGATTGTGCTGCAAACCAGCAAGTTACCTACCGCATCTCTGGAGTAGGAATTGATCAACCACCTTTTGGAATCTTCGTTATTAACCAAAAAACTGGTGAAATTAACATAACATCCATAGTTGATCGAGAAGTCACCCCGTTTTTCATTGTAAGTGGATGCCGTGTCAATATATATGTTCAGGCCTAAATTATTTGGAGAATTGCCGGGGTCCAACCCCAGCAGGTCCAGGGGTTCCCAAAGGTGTAGACGGAGTCGGCAAAGAAGGAAGGACACGGAGACAGTGTTCAGTTGATCAGCAGCCTAGCCAGGATCTCCAGCCAGGATCTCCAGCCAAGTTCTGGTCTGGATCTCCAGAGAGGTTCTGGTTAGGATCTCCAGCCAGGTTCTATGTCCATGTTCTCTTGCTAGGTTCTCCAGGTTCTGTAGCCATGTTCCCTCGCTAGGTTCTCCAGCCAGGTTCTGTCCAGGTTCTCCAGCCAGGTTCAGTCACCAGGTTCTAGTCAGGTTCTCTTGCCAATTTCTGTAGTCAGGTTCAGTCCAGGATCTTTTGCCATGTTCTCCCCAGCGAAGTTCTTCTGTCTCTAGAGAACGTTCTGTGTAGGTTCTGTGCCTCCTGGTTCTGTCTTCTTAGTTCTGTGTTCTAAGTTCTGTGTTCTAAGTTCTGTGTTCTTACGTCTGTATTTATACCAGTTGATTCCAATCCTATCAATCTCTATTACAAAGGTTATGGCGTTTCTTATCTCCATTCAAGGGAGTAAAGATTATGTAGCTTAAGCATGATTGTTCGTAGTTAAAGTGATTAATTTCCCGCCTGGCACTTAGTTAAGAGGTTTTATTCCCTCCCTAACTTCAGGGGAAAATCCCTACCTGGGGAAACAACCTTTCTCAGAGAGGAGACCTCGGTTAAAACACATAGTGCCAAGAAGGTGAGCAAACATATTAAGAACAGTATGCCATATATGCCAGGTCCCTTGAAACAGCAAGGATGGACCGGCTCCCGGCAGAGAATATCTTGAGCTCAGATCATACTTGATTTGGTTTCAAGAGTCTCAGTATTAGGCACTTTTTGGTTGTCTCTTAATTCATGAGCAACTATGACCCCAGAGACACATAGGGAAGACCGAGAGACAAAGGTATCTTGCATGAGCTCCTCAGCAAAAAAACGCTAGCCTCCGGTCTGGCCCCACTGGCAAGCTAGAGCATTTGCTAGAAGGGCAAGTACTCAACGTGTACTTCTTTGTCTTTAATTAGTTGAGAATGTTGGTCTCCTCTAGCTCCAGTGCCTAGGGGTGATCCTGTAGGTTCCACGGAGCCTTTCCTGAGAGCATACTTGAGTATAAATGCAAATTGCTCAAGCTCCCGGAGCACAGACTGTGCCTCGGGAAGGCCTCAGTCCCTCCTTACCTGAACCTTACTCTATTCTCTACTAGCTGTGACAAAGTGTAAGTGCTTACTCTTCAAACCCTTAACTCGTTTCTATTTTAAGCAGCTGACCTCATGACCAACTTCATTATAAAAATCTGAGGCTCTTCACCAAAAACGCCTACAATTAATTCCCTCCGCCTGCTCAGAAATGTTCCAAAAGCAAGATGCATTTTGTTTTCTCCAATATATCTCTAGAGTTCCCACTGTCCCATAATTACCTAGTTCTTCAAGAACCTTCTTGTACCAACTTTCCTTTTTCATGTCTCTTCTGCTGTCCTGTGAGTTACTCCCATCATGGTCAACACTTGTTAATACTTAAAATTAAAAATAAAGAAATAGGCGCTGGCTGGGTAGCTTAGTTGGCTAGGCATCATCCCGATATATACCAAGGATTGCAGGTTCCATCCCTAGTCAGGTCTCTCTCTCTCTCTTCCTTCCTTCCTCTATCTCTCTAAAATCAATAAAGAAAACTTTTAAAAAATAAAGGACAACCTGTCTGGATCTTGTAACCTCTTCTATTAAAACACTATCAATCCATATCCCAAAATACCTTCAAATAGTCATCTATGTTTGCTGCTTTCACTATTTTAATTCCTTAGTCTTCTCTTCCAAATATATATTCCTGCCTTATTTCCCACAATGTTTTCCCAAAAACTCTCTAAATCAGCATGCCAGCCTATTAGCTTTGGTTAAAGCATAATGGGTTTTTAAATGAAATATACCAAAATAGGTAAAATAGCATATATTAATTTATGCATACGGCTGGTAATAATAACAATAGCACAAACACCCATACAGCCCCTCCGAGCTTATGAACACTCTATTTCTTGGAAGCCCCCACGTTACTCTCCTTTACCACAGTCTCAACAGCCCCCCCTCCCCCCACTTAGCCCCTATTCCTAATTTCAAACAAGGCTTCTTCTCTTAATGAATCCCTTTGCTGGGAACACCCTGCCAATCTCCAGCTTGAGAACCTCTTTTAAGATGGATCTCAGTCATTACATCCCCTATGATGTCACATTATTGTTGCTCATCCTTTTGTAACTGATCATGTTACCTTTTCTTAAGTGGTATTTTGAGTACATGTGTGCCTCCCTTATTGATTATAAGTACTGCTTGTGCTCACACTCAAGTAGGAAATAAAGTCTTATTTTTCTTTTAGTGGCACAGCGCCTAGTAGAGCGTCCAAACAAAGTAAAAACTCAATATTTGTCGCATCATATAATTATTCCTCTTTTTTTTTCTTCTAGATCTACTGCCGGGCTCTGAACTTACAGGGCCAAGATTTAGAGAGGCCCCTGGAGCTCCGAGTCCGAGTTCTGGATATAAATGACAACCCGCCAGTATTTTCTATGTCTAGTTTCCTAGGACAAATAGAAGAAAACTCTAATGCAAGTAAGTAGTCAACTTTCTGAAGTAAGCAAGACTATACGGGCTTCCAGATCATTCTTAACAGCCAGTCCACTAGAAGCTAAGTTATGTCCATGTACCCATCACCAATGTAAGAGGTAATTCTAGAAAAGCAAGCAGAAGACAGGCATGAGGAAGTCTCCCTAAAGGTTTTCCCTTCCACTGCGAAAGCAGCTTCAGTTGCTCACGTGCAACAAGCAGCTCCAAAACCATGAGAGGAATTTTCTCTTGTGACTCTCATACCAGCTCTGTAGTAGATTCCTAAGGGGACATTCCACAAGGACTTAGCACAGTGGGGCAGGGGCCCTGGGAAGAGCATGGAGCCTCCCAGCCGACTGCTCTGAAGGGCAATCCCATCCACTGTCATTCATACTGCTTCTTCCCCTTCTTTCACTAGAAAGTGCTGTATAGTTGAGAATCAGTTAGTCTGGCCTTAATATCATTTTGTTTCACCACAAAAGCCGTAAAAAGAAATCATTATACTAGAATAAGAAATGGAAAGGCAAAATAAAACATTTCATTGTTTTCTAACTACCAGTAATATCTAGGTTCTTGGTCAAATGTGATCTTTTTCTCAATGTAAAGGTAAAGAAAGGAGCTAAGATATGATTATGTCGAAGAAGTAGAAAACAAAAATGGTAGAGTGCACATTATATGAACCAACTAACCTAACCTCTTCTTGGAAAAGTAATTATAAACAATAAGAAAAATACATACAAACTGTCCATTTGCAATCCTTTCTCCTTGATTTCTAGATACGCTGGTGATGAGACTCAATGCTACTGATGCAGATGAACCCAATAATTTGAACTCAAAAATCGCCTTTAAGATTATCAGCCAGGAACCTTCTGATTCACCCATGTTTATTATCAACAGATACACTGGAGAAATTCGGACAATGAATAATTTTCTAGACAGAGAGGTAATTTATTTTTCTTTGAATGGGTTGTTAATTCATAGGAACTGAATCTAAAAGCAAGAGTACCTAAGAAAAAAAAAAAGGAAACTATATTTTAAAAATTCAGTTACATAACCTTTTCACATAATGGTAATGACATAAAAAAAATCTTTAAAATGAAAATACGGGGATGCCTCACATACATTTTATATTCTTGTCTTTCATTTAATCTTACTTAGGATTTGCCTTAAATTGAGAAAACTACATTCTGAGAGTACATAAAAATATGCATAGAAGTAGAGGCAAAAGCTCCATTTTATGAAACAAGTGAGTTCCCTAGTGAAATAAATGTAAAAGACACTGGCTCTTCTAGCCCCCGTCTTGGTGAGTCACAGTGCATGCAAACGTGGTCGAGGCTCCAAGAGTGTTCACAGGCTCAGAAACTCGTTTCTCTCTCTTTAACCCGGTGCATCCTAAGCTCATTTGACAACAGAAATCTTTGTTTTCTTCCTATGCTGCAGCTGCTGACAACCCATTGATTACTTTGGGAAATGAATCGCAGGAACAGAATGATAGATAGAAATTACATAACTTCCAGATCAATCTTTTCATTTATGAATAAGAAAACAATTAGTGAGTGTTACCAAATTAGAATCAGCATTACATGGTTTCCATCATGCCATGTGGTCCCATAACTTAATATAAAAATATCAACTTTTCATTATTTTAAAATAGAATATAGCTAACCTGCATGTACTATAAGTATATGCATGAGAAAGTGTTATTTCCTAATTAATACTCAATTAAATTTTATTTTAATAATTATAGTTATTTAATAATGACAAACTCCTATTGACGACCTGGAATTTAGGATAAATCAGGATATTTCTACACTCTTTGATTATCTAAATGCCATCAGTTTCTAGGTTACCTACCTCTCTTTTTATACTTGTTTGAAAGTTACCATCAGAAGAAATTGACTACTTAGCTCTTTCTTAAACTTTCTTAAAGAACCCAATGAAACTCCTTTCATGTATATAGCATTTTAGCAGTGGAGAGCTCTCAACAGTAAAGGGGAAAACTCCAGATATTCTTAACGAGGCGTCCATAGAGAGACCTCAAGATGTCTCTACCTATGAAGCCTCCAAGATCGCATCACAGTTTTAAATGAGAACGCAAATGTGCTTGTGTCTGGAAAAGGAGTCATAGCTTTCACCGGCTTCTGGAAATGTAAGCACCATTGAGTAGAATCAAGGAGCTAGATGACAGCGGTTCTCAACCTGTGGGTTGCGACCCCTTTGGCGGTCGAACGACCCTTCCACAGGGGTCGCCTAAGACCATCCTGCATACCAGATATTTACGTGACAATTCATCACAGTAGCAACATGACAGTGATGAAGTAGCAACGAAAATAATTTTATGGTTGGGTCACAGCATGAGGAACTGTATTTAAAGGGCCAGAAGGCTGAGAACTGAGCTAGAACATCCATAATTCCACTGCCACAACCTGCCGCCCCCAGACGTGCAAACCACCTGGGCCTCTTTGTTCTTGCACACTCGGGGCTGGTTATGAAAGGCACGGAACTGGCATGCCAAAATTCCCGGTAAACTTTCAACTCTTCCCTCCGGGGCGTTTCGACCCAATTTGCCCTTTATAAACGTTTTCAAATTCTGAACAAAAATACAAGGAATGAGACTTTTAAAGAATGTTGCTTCTTTTCCATGAGGCTGAAGAAGCATTTTGGGGACTCAACGTGGTGTCTTTCATAGTGATTCGTGTGAGATATATGCATTTTCAATGATCGGTGGTACCCTTATCACCACCATAGATTTATGTAAATCATGAGCCAGCATTTTAAAAGAACTCTGCATGAGTCAGAATAAGGATGATGTCAACTGTGAAATTGTCTGTCATGTGTATTTGTAGCAATACAGCCAATATTCTCTTGCTGTAAGAGGCTCAGACCGAGACGGCGGGGCAGATGGCATGTCAGCAGACTGCGAATGCAGCATCAAAATCCTCGATGTCAATGACAACATCCCATACCTGGAAGGGTCTTCGGTAAGTACTTGTCTTCGAAAGGAATGACTTTCAGTTCATCACATGCCAAAATGTGTTTGGACAATCCTCTTTACAGACGTCTATGTTTTCCTTAGTCACATACAACCCCAAGGCAGACATGCCCTTTGTCTGTGCTTATGTATGTAATGCACAGGGGCCACATATTTGAACAACGGAAAGAGAGACATTAAACATAGATCCCCTTCCTAAATCATGAGTAACTGTAGACACTCAGGGTAAGTCTAGTGTCATTCTCTCTCACAGTGTGCGCTAAGGCTTCTTGCTTCTCGTTTCAGTATGAACTAGAGATCGAAGAAAACTCTCTGAACTCAAATTTGCTCCAACTCAGAGTCATTGACTTGGACGAGGAGTTCTCCGCTAACTGGATGGCTGTCATTTTCTTCATCTCTGGAAATGAGGGGAACTGGTTTGACATAGAAATGAACGAAAGAACCAATGTGGGGACTTTAAGGATTATTAAGGTATGGTATAATTATCCTCCATATTTTGTTCTCTTGGTCTTTCTCCAAATGTTAATCTTAAATTTAAATGTTAAGATTACGTAAACTCCAGTGGGTGAAAAGATAAAAAATTACTGTTTTAAAATGGTATATGATATAGAACTTTTACATGGCGAGGTTTTCTGCTTATATAATTTCATGAAAACAGGCATTGAATTTTAACTCGAAACTCTATCAATACAATACTCACCCGCAGATCATATGAATTAAAAGAATTTTTAAGCAAGAAATTAACTTTATGCTTACAACAAAATATGATTATGCTTTAGGGCTTTGTTTTAGATGTTTAAAAATATTTTTAAATCAGATTTAACATGGCCTTTACAAAAAAAATGTGTCCATGGCAATTATTACGCACTAAGAATATTCACTATATAAATCGAATGTTCTTTATTCCTCCATTGTGTTTTTATGAAATTAACAGTAAATTACTGTAATTGTAGAATCACGTTCTCACCTCCTAGTGGCTGCTGACCGAGATTTATTATGGACATAAATACACTAAAGATTTGGTCCAAGTCCCTCGAGTTTCCCTGTGTCCCCCTGACATTAACGAACCACCAAGTCAACTGCAGTAGAATTTCCTCTGAGATGTGAAGCGGGGAGATGCCTGGCTCCCAGGGAGCGGGTAGTGAAATTTTCACCCTGTGCTAAAGCCCCAGCAAGTCTATTTTTGTGCAAGAGCCTCCTGGTCAGGTGGCTCAGCTGGTTAGAGTATCTTCCCAGTATGCCAAGGTTGCGGGTTTGATCCCGGGACAGGGCAAATACGAGAATCTACCAATGAATGCATAAATAAGTGAAACAACAAATCGATGTTTCTCTCTCTCTCTCCCTTCCTCTCTCTAAAATCAATTTAAAATATTGCAATAGTGGTGCATAAACTATATGTGATATGTGCAATATGGATTCTTCATAGGAAAATGTAATTCCTTTTCCACTATTTCCTTCCTTCAGAATATTCCTCAGAAATAGACTCCTACAGTCTGTCCTTCTGGGAATGTGTGATCATTTGTTTCATGTCATCGTAGAGTGTCACCATGTCTATAGCTTCCGCCATGTGCAGAGGCTTTAGTCTATTCCTCACAGCATCCCTCAATCAGTTATATACCCATATTACAGATAAATACATTGAGGTCCAGAGAGAGTATGTAACCTGCTCAACTTCACTTAACGGTGTGTGGTACGTCTGGCATACAAACCTACATCTTAGCTACTAAGTCCATATTCTTTCACTATACTCCCTAGGATTCCATGCTGGGAAAAAATCCTAAACTATTTCACACTAAACTACTCTATTATTTTAGAAAATTAATCTATCTGTCCTCCATACCTCTATCTATAAAATGGGAATGATTCTTATTTTTCTCCCAGGTGTAACATCATATGTTAAATCTTTTTATGATTATATACTATATGTAATAAGTCTGTGTATTTGTGTGTAATGTATAAGTATACATGATTTTATAGCCAATCTTGAAATTGCAAGTACAGCCAACATTAGGGCAAAGACTAAAAATTTACCTAAGTGAAGAGTACAATGCGTGAATCCATGGTCACCTAAAGACTCTTATGTGAAAATTTAGAAAAATATATTTGGCATAATCCATTGTTTGTGGATTTTATGAGTAATGGATATTAACATCATCATTTTTAGTGAAAATGACTACTTAATTATTTCCAAAAGGTGAAATAATTTGTTCTAGAATATGTTGAAAAAAAATAAGAATTTCTCTTTATTATTCACGTGCTACATTCTAGTACCTGACTTAATAAAAGAAGTCAGCTTTGTAGAAGTAAAATTCTTCTAAATAGTTCTCTATGGATAAAGCCAGTCAAATGATGGAACCTACACTGTATCAGGCCCATACTTTGTATAAACAGAACTACTTTCTGAAAAACACAAAATGATACAGGCTAACATAAACTGTCTTTGCACTACAAAATGCCAGGATTTGACCATCTATATTATTTTTAAATTTTTAATTTGGTGGACAGTGAGGACTCGTGTCATACCTTTTCAATTTTTTTCAACAAAGGATACAAGATTGGATTTTTTCTCACCATATATATTGTATGTGTTTGTATTAGATTAAAGATAAAGTAAGAATACATTGTATGTATTTATATTTAATATCATCTTTCTAGGCATAAACATTTATTTGCCTATTATCAAAGGATTTCTTTTTCTTCAAGAATTCTTTTCTTTTTGTAGTAAAATTATTTCATTCTGTATTTACTAGCCCTTGGATTATGAAGCCATGAACAATCTGCAACTCAGTATCGGTGTTAGAAATAAAGCTGAATTTCATCAATCAATTATGTCTCAATATAAACTCACAGCGACAGCAATCTCCGTGACTGTGGTAAATGTAATTGAAGGCTCAGTGTTCCATCCAGGTTCAAAGACATTTGTAGTAACTAGTAACATGGGACAGAATTCTAGAGTGGGAGATTTTATAGCTACTGACCTGGACACTGGCGGACCTTCAACAAAAGTTAGGTAAGGCTGACATTTTCCAATGAATTTCCATCACATAGTGAATGAAGTACATATGCTCTTTTTTTGACATTTTAAGTATGAATTTAAATATTTTTTCATTATTTTGAAGCCATCATTTAATTATAAAAAGTACTAGCTACTGAATTATTACTTAATTTAGAGTGCTTAACTTACAAAAAAATAAAAGATTGTGCAACATGTAAGATGTGAAAGTATAAAGATGCAAAATGTGAAAATATTGTATCTTTAAACTTTGACACTCCTGTGTTTTTTATATTTTATGGACCAATTAGCTGATTACCACATCCCAAGATAATTTACTCCGGATTTTATGAACTAATTTTCCCATTGCAAATTTGCCCAGATTGAATCCAGTTAGATTTATTTATTTTCTTCACTTTAATAAGCACTTAGTATTGGCCAATAATAACTTTGGCATGAAAAATGACTTAAAGAAAAATCATGCTGTATAATTTTTTGTAACTCTGTATATCCAAATATTTCTACTTGATCATAAAAAAAATCTGTGTATATGTGCACATATGTTTTAAACATGTGCTTGTGACCAAGAGTAACAATGGGGGAAAGATCTCACATATTAGATTTTAAAGTGCTTTCTCCATATTCTTCTCACACTAGGTGAGTGTTTGTGTTACAGCTCTTATCGCACTGTCCCACCATTACTGATAAACTCTCACCCCGCAGATATAGTTCACGGAGGACAGGTCACCTCCCATCCCTCAATCCCAACACCCACCCCTGTGTCCTCTCAAAGTTCTATTCCCTGAGTTTAGCACCATCCCTGAGACAGAGAGTTGCTAACCAGTATTTCTTTTGTTAAATGTAAATGAGAAAAAAAAAGACATGGAAGTGAAAGATGAGGAGAGGAAGACAATAGAAAACAGGACAGAAGCATCAGGAAAGGACTTAGGCAGTTTGGAATTCAAAAGAAGTCCTGTTTAGTTATTGTGTATGTGGAGAAGGGGAGTAGAAATAGGGAGGGGATGATGGCCAAGCTGATGAAGACATAAGTTCTTTGGTAAGAGAATAATTTAGAATTGCTAATGAGCTCAGGAAGTCCTAGGTTTTGGGTCTTCCAGAGTAGTTCCGATGCTTCCTAAACCAAATGAAAATGAGACCACAAGCATCAAAGGATCATTGTGCCAACCAAGTGGCATAAGAGACATTCCATCGGAAATAGCTGCTCAATCATTCTGTTTTCTTAAATTGACAGCTTTGTCTGTTTCCAAATGTCTTCAAATAGCTGGGACTGCCCTGAAAAAAGGAGAAAGTGTATCTAATAACTGAAAACTGTATTCAGGGATTCTAACTACTGACTAGAGACATGTTTTATAAATAAAATCTCTTTCTCTCTGCTTTTTAGATAGCTGACATTAATTTATACTATTATCTTTCAAATACAGATACGTAATGGGAAATAATCCAGCTGACCTACTCTCTGTTGACTCAAAAACGGGCATTATTACTTTGAGAAATCAAGTTACCATGGAACAATATAATATGCTTAATGGAAAATACCAAGGAACAATTCTATCTATAGACGGTAAGAGATCAATTTAACATTTTTCCTTCTAAAATTTCAATATATATTTTAATTGTATTTCAAAGTAATGCTTTTTTCAACAAAAGTTATCATATTGGCTATTACAGAATCAAATCTTTAATGATAGGAAAAGCAGTATAACTTAGTGGATAAGACCATGAGCTCTGGAGTGAGACTGGATTGGTATTTTGTGCCATCACTTACTAGATATGGGATTTTAGAGAAGTCATTTAACCCATTTACCCCTCAGTCTTTTCTTCTGCAAAATGGAACAATAACAATATGGATTTGAGGAGTTACTACATGTAAAGCACTTAGACCAGGGGTGGGCAACCTTTTTGTGAGTGTGTGCCAAAACCAGCAAATCTCTGACTCAAAATTCTTCTGCGTGCCAACCCTAATTTTTTGAGAACATGTTACGCCTACTTGATATCTCTTAAGGTGTACGTATGTGAAGAACCTTGAAGAAATAATAAAATTCATTCAAGCGACAAAAACACAGTATATGATGATGAAAAATACATTTATTTTTTAATGTATACATGTTATGTAAAATTATTTATTTATCTAAGATGCACCTACACTGAATTTATCTGAAAAATAAAAAAGTCGATATTAAGAAAAAAATTGTATGTCGATGGCCCGCGAACCAGCTTGCAACTCCACGCACAACTATCACCCAAAGGGCGAGAGGGGCAAGAGCAGCTGTAGTGTTGCTTTCTCCTCAGTTTTGGTATCGAAATCCTCATTTTAAACATAAGAGGATATATTATTTTAAAAAGCCGTAACATGGCTTGCCGGGAGCCGGTCCATGCTTGCTGTTTCAAGGGACCTGGCATATATGGCATACTGTTCTTAATATGTTTGCTCACCTTCTTGGCACTATGTGTTTTAACCAAGGTCTCTGAGAAAGGTTGTTTCCCCAGGTAGGGATTTTCCCCTGAAGTTAGGGAGGGAATAAAACCTCTTAACTAGTGCCAGGTGGGTAATTAATCACTTTAACTACAAACAATCATGCTTAAGCTACATAATCTTTACTCCCTGGAATGGAGATAAGAAACGCCCTAACCTTTGTAATAGAGATTGATAGGATTGAATCAACTGGTATAAATACAGATGTAATAAGACAGCAAGACACAGAACTTAGAATACGGAACCAAGAGAGACAGAACCTAGGCACAGAACCTACACAGAACGTTCTCTAGAGACAGAAGAACTTCGCTGGAGAGAACATGGCAAAAGTTCCTGGACAGAAACTGGCCTCAGAACCTAAAGACAGAACCTAGGGAGAGAACATGGCAAAAGATCCTGGACTGAACCTGACTACAGAAATTGGCAAGAGAACCTGACTAGAACCTGGTGACTGAACCTGGCTGGAGAACCTGGACAGAACCTGGCTGGAGAACCTAGCAAGAGAACATGGACACAGAACCTGGCTGGAGAACCTAGCAAGAGAACATGGACACAGAACCTGGCTGGAGAACCTAGCAAGAGAACATGGACACAGAACCTGGCTGGAGATCCTAACCAGAACTTTGCTGGAGATCCAGACCAGAACTTGGATGGAGATCCTGGCTAGGCTGCTGATCAACTGAACACTGTCTCCGTGTCCTTCCTTCTTCGCCGACTCCGTCTACGCCTTTGGGAACCCCTGGACCTGCTGGGGTTGGACCCCGGCAATGGCTCCGCACCCTTCCTGAGTAGAGCGTGAACAAGTCGTGAGAGACCTTTCCGAGCATAGGGACACGTTGCGAATGGAAACAGCAACAGTTTCCATGTGCATGACCTTTGACTCGGTGACAAAAATCGTACACCTATAGATGAGGACAGTGGGGGGGTGGGGGGGGTAAGGGCAGAGGGTGGGGTGGGAACTGGGTGGAGGGGAGCTATGGGGGGAAAAAAGGGGAACAACTATAATAATCTGAACAATAAAGATTTAATAAGAAAAAAATTGTAAATGGAAGATTATAAGAGAGGGTTTCACGTGCCAGCAAAAGTTTCTGGCGTGCCATGTTTGGCACACGTGCCAGGGGTTGCCCACCCCTGACTTAGACTTTCAATAAATGTTAGTTCTTTATTAATGTAAATAATTGCAATTTTTAAATTATATGTATTATAAAATTATATTCAAATAGGCCAGAAGCCAAGCTAACTTAACTTTATATAATCTTTGGAAAATTGATGCACAACTTTGTTTGAGCAATTTGGAGGTAGCATGCTTATATTACTTTTAAAATTAATTTAGGCTGGTCCCTAAAGGAGGAGAGGGCCTCGAGACTAATTTCTTCTAAGCAAAGCTTGCTACTTCCGTTGCTTTCTCCCTCCCTCTCCTTCTTTCTTCCTCATTCAATTATTCTAAAAACAGGTTGACTATTTCCACTTGCTTTGCAGGTGTAAAAAATAATAAATAGCATTCCTTTAAAGTCATTCAACAATTCAGAATTTTTACCAAATTATAATGTTTTTTCCACAATTAATCAAAATAAGAGTAGTTTTAAAACATATATATTGCAAACAGAAATGTGATTCCATTTAAAGATAAAGCTTATTTTGATTCAGTGCTGAAATGACCTTAAGTAAATTGCTAGTTGACTCCAGTTTTACATCCAAAATCAAGCTTCACTGGAGACATGAAGGAAAAATTGAAACTTTGTTTACAACATTGTTAGGCTTATCGCAAACAGAAAGCATGCCTTTTCTCATCAAAAAGGGGGATAAATATCACAGGTGATGAAAATGATAAAAATAAGACCAAAGCCAATAACATTATGTGATTTGATATCATAGATTGGATTTAAATTTGTCTCTGTTACATTCTTCCAGGGACTTTTTTATTCATTTACTCAGAATCTATATATTGAATCCTAACCAAATGTCAGCCATTGTACTGGGTTCTAGGGTTACATCAATGGACAAAGTCTGACAACAGAGCTTACATTTATGTAATTGAGTTAAGAACAATAATGTCAAACAAAATCATTCCTTTATTTTTAGCCAGTTTTCAATAACCTTAGGAAAATCCCTAAATATAAAAGGCTGAATGCACATTGAAGTTCCTTTTAGCATTATCTATAATAAATATCAAAAGCAATATCGATAACAGGCATTGACAGATGTATGAATACATACACTGCCACAAAGGAGATAGAAAACATACTCATCACCACAGAGCAACCCTGCGCCCTTCTGTAGTCATTACTACAGCTCTAGCTCAGCCCCAGGCACCTGCCCATGAAAATGCTGCTGGATTCTGATGCACCACCTTTTGTATCAAATGCACTCAAAAATTAGTCCATTGTTTTGAAATACTGGTTGGTTGGTTGGTTGGTTGGTTGGTCGGTTGGTTGGTTGGTTGGTTAGATGAAATAAAAGGCAAGGGTAGAGCAATTAAGTTGAAACAAATAGCAAATCTCCCTACCCCTGTGTTCAGTCAAGGAACACAGTAACTTACTGAAACTTTGAAGGACAAGAAGGAAGCACACTGGAATATCTGCTTGTGAAACAAACGTATTTCACCTTCTTATTGAAATGAAAATTTCCCCGCCTCCAACAGCACCAGTTCCCTCTCCCGTGAGTGGTTGGTGGCTGTGAGTTTGGGGATATGCTGCTTCCTCACTAAGAAATTTTTGTAGAAATGCTGTACTAACCTGCTCCCAATCTGTTCATTTTGTCAGCCCATAAAAGGAAAAGCACAAACATAATTGAAGAAGAAAGACAATAAAACCACCAAAAAAAATAAAAATAAAAATCTAGCTCTCATATAAGAAATGTGAAAAACAAAACAAAAAAACAAACAAACAGTAGTCTAGGAATGCCTCCCCAGAGCTTATAACGCAGCACTGGCCAATGCAGACACAAGGTGGTGTTTACTGCCCACGCTTCCCTCTACACGAGACAATTTTTCAGGAGCACTAACCGTCATAACAGTTTGATTTACAAAAGGAGTCACCGGCAAGGGAGAACTGGGGAAGTTACTGAATGAATGGGATAAAGACATTGAAATAACTATTGATGCAAAAAGGAAATAGTTTCGTATTGCCCAACAATGACTACATTAAATTTATGAATTTCTTCCATTTTGAACCTTGTTACAGATGGTCTTCAAAGAACTTGTACTGGTACAATTAATATTGATCTTCAAGGTTCTGGCTGGGCAACTTCTGAAACCACTCCAAAATATAACACAGATCAAGGTGATACTGGTACTGGTGGTGGTACAGGTGAACTTACTACTGGTGAAGTCACTGTCAACACACAAAGCAACAATGGCAATGTCGATGGAGGTGTAACAGATGGTTATGATAGAGAACCCATAGGCGTGCCCATGTTTCCAGATAATGTACATTTTGGTCCCGCTGGCATTGGACTGCTCATCATGGGATTCTTGGTCCTAGGATGTAAGTACTTTTAACAGCCAATCTGCAGGTGCCCCCCACCCCCCAAAAAATTGGGAGACATTTTCTGATCTTTTGATAAAATGTATTTTAACAATTCTTATTGTGTTCAATTATCAAGATACTTCTACATCTAGTGCTGGATTTATGAGATTTTTAAAAAGCCAATTGCTTGGCAGTGGAAGATAAAAACTTCTTTCACATTCAATCTCAATGTGATGGGAAGCCCCATCATAGGCAGGTCCCACTGCTATTGGAGCAGAGAAGACAATGAGAAACAACTGATTGGAATGGCCAGGAAAGCCTACAGCAGCGGTTCTCAACCTGTGGGTCGCAACCCCTTTGGGGATCAAACGACCCTTTCACAGGGGTCGCCTAAGACCATCGGAAAACACATATATAATTACATATTGTTTTTGCGATTAATCACTATGCTTTAATTATGTTCAATTTGTAACAATGAAAATACATCCTCCATTCCAGATGTTTACATGACGATTCATAACAGTAGCAACATTACAGTTCTGAAGTAGCAACGAAAATAATTTTATGGTTGGGGGTCACCGCAACATGAGGGACTGTGTTAAAGGGTCGCGGCATTGGGAAGGTTGAGAACCACTGGCCTACAGGGAATGCCTATGTGTGGAGCTTTTCATTAACACCTGTTCCTATGAACACATTCGGGACACAGCATACTGTCCTCCAGGTGGCGGGTGGGAAGGTGCAGGCAGGTCCGAGAAGAGTGCACAGACTTTCCCTCGTGTCTCTGGAACCCGGGCTGGCCCAGCATTTCCCTCTCTCTCATCACTATCCTTACTCCATTCCCCTACCCACCTGCCCTCTTCCTTTTTTCTTTCCCTCCTTCCTTATTGTTTAAAAAATGTACACATCCTTTTCTTCATCCACCCATTCATTCCAAATCGCTATTTAAGATCATATTATGTAAAAAGCTCTGAGCTAGAAACTTCTAATTGATTGCGAGTAAAAGACAGTGTGAAGCAGCGTAAGGTTCTCTATTTGTGCCTGAGTAATTTCAAGAAAAGATATTGAAGGGCAAATAAGAGCCTCAAAGAGGATAATTGCTTGAAGCATGAACAAGATGTTACTGTTGAAATAAAAAGGCAGGCATGTATGAAAGGAGAAAAATAAAGACAAAACACCAAACATGTGGACTGGCCTACCAGTTTTCTTTTTTCTCTCTTTCCCTATTTTCCTGAGTAACAGGGAGAAGAATCATCTGTGTTCATAGTACGATACTATTTGTAACCTGAATCTGAAATAACAAATTAAAATTTATTGCAATCTAGTATACTGAAGCGCACAGTGATTGTAGTATCTCACCATTATACAGTTTATTTTCTATAACCTCCATAATAATTTTAGGATCAAATGGGGTTATATTAGGGATTCAAATTTAATCACAAAAAGCAAGTTTTTCTTTTGTGGCCCCTCTGCTAATTCCAATATTCCTCTCCTGTCACCCCCAGTGGTCCCATTCTTGTTGATCTGCTGTGACTGTGGAGGCGCCCCTGGTGGCGGAGCCGGCTTCGAGCCTGTTCCTGAGTGTTCAGAAGGGGTAATGCATCCGTGGGCAGTGGAAGGACCGGGGCCTGAGCCTGGGGTAAGTGCCAATCTGTAAGAAATGACCTGCGGTAGTCACCTAAACTCAGTCTTCTGCATGCTAGCCATGGGGGGCACTGGAGAGAAAGCAGAGGTGCCTGCAAATTAGATGGATGTAACCAGGGAAGGCTTTCTGAATGCAGTTCCGGTTTCACATGGATTTCAAAAGTTTCCTCAGTAACATTCTTTCAGAGCATCGGAAATAATTTGAGAACTAACCCAATGGGTAACTAGAGAAAGAAAAGAGTCGTTACAAATGGGAAGATGTTGTTTCTTGTCTTTTAGATTATCACCACCATCCCTATACCACAAATTCCACCAGGAGGGAATATAATCCAATGTGTTGACACTTCAGGTACAATTTCCTTTTATTTTAACAACTCAAATGACTCAGAAGGAATTGTGTTCTCTCTTTGCATACCTCACTGTTTCTCAATTATTATATTTGTCTTTAAAATTGTTTCTATTCTTCCTTTTAAAATGACTAATTTACATATTAAATGGAAAGGGAAAACCTACAGGAATTGTTATTCTTTTTTCTTTTTTTTTTAAATATATTTTTTATTGATTTTCTACAGAGAGGAAGGGAGAGAGATAGAGAGTTAGAAACATCGATGAGAGAGAAACATCGATCAGCTGCCTCCTGCACACTCCCCCGCTGGGGATATGCCTGCAACCCAGGTACATGCCCTTGACCGGAATCAAACCTGGGACCTTTCAGTCCGCAGGCCGACGCCCTATCCATTGAGCCAAACCGGTTTCGGCAGGAATTGTTATTCTTATGTGTTGAATTTTTTACATCTTCTTCAATCATCAGAGAGTGCTTAGGAAATGGCCTGATTAGGATGTCTATACGTAGAAAAGAATAACTGAGTTGTAACCACGAGTCTATTTGGGGCATGGGTTTTTGTGGTTTATTTTTTGTCTAGTTAAGCAAATCTTATGTACACCCCAAAATGCTAATTAGAATGAAAGAACAACTCTATTAAAATAGATCTGCGCTCATTTATTGAGACTAGATTCCACCTCCACAATTCATGAATGGTTCAGAATCATGCTGGCTTCTGCTGTCATCATGACAAAACTAAAAACTGCATCCATTCTCAGCATCAGCCTAAAGGTTGACCTGAAAGATCTGTCCAGTTTCTCAGACTGTAAGTAAGTGGAGGGGACACTATCAACATCTTCTAACACTCTCCTTTGAGGCGTGTGCACGTGGTGGAGCTTGTCCAGCACACGGGTGAGCCTGTCGGTACAACCGGCCCCACAACAGAGTCTAGAGCAGTTCCCAGGCAGAACCCAGGGAGAACGAGCATTTCACAGTACGCGAATAACTGTGACTCCAATAAAAAGAGCAACTGAATTTTAGAAACCTCATATCTTTGAAAAGAGTTGTGCCATCTTTTCTGTTTTTCAAGGTAAATACATATTGATTCTCTTATTTTTCTCTCAGCCTTCCTCAAACTTGTAATCATGACTTTTCCACGTTGACTCTTTAAAATGGAACAAGTATAGGAATATTTATAACTTGTAGAACTGGACCTTATGCAAAGCATGGACGTGCTAGTATTTAAAACCATATTTCCTCCTCATGCCTCCATTGTTGTTAAAATCAAACCAACATCGCCCCCCTCCCACGTCAAAAGTAGAAACTTTTATATCTTCCTGCTCACTGATATCCAATCAGTTCTAAGACTTTATTTATACATTAAGTCTCTCATTAAGTCTACAAATATTTACACAGACCTCCACAAAGCACAGTGAAAGGCACCAAAGTAACAGCCGTCTGGAAACGCACTGTCCCTAAAATCACGAATTTAAAATAGTAAAGCATGACACCTATCATGTCAGCACTGCTCCTGTCCACGGCACCTCCACAATCCAGGCCATGGCTTTACCTCCCCTGCTGAGAATACTGTGAGGCTTCCATTCACCCTCACATCCACGGGCAGATTCAAGACTCCCAGGCAGACCTTTCCCCTTGCCATCGCCATGGCTTCTTCTCTGAAAGCGTGGTCCTTGGGCTTCTCCTGGGGCCCTGTGCTTCTAATATAGTACATTGGGGTGTTCTTATACCATTTCACTTTTAGAATGTAGGTCATTTCCCCCCAATTTTTGTTAATTTAAAATCAAAGTCCTCTTAATAACTATGTATGGTGCCAGTTGGGTACTGGAAATATCAGGGGGAGCACTGTAAATCTAACCAATATGTTGTACAGCAGAAACTAATACAAAATAATATTGAATGTAAACTGTACTTGAAAATTTTTTTAAATAAAAATATGTAAAGCATAGGTTTTTGGAACCACTATGCAGCCCCTTGCTTCTAGCTCAACATATAGTTACCAACAAATAATTAACAATAATTACCAAGTTACCAAGTTAATTGATACTATTATTTTGAACTGAATATATTTATAGTTCCTATATTTCAGTATCATTTTCTTTTTTACTTTTTACTTTGCTCACAAATGCATACTTAAATGAAGAACTATACATAAAAGTAAGGTACTAATTTTTAGTCTACAGCACACTACATAAAGTAAATTTAAACCTTCACTTTCAGGGGTTTATACAAATGAGTATGGTGGCAGAGAAATGCAAGAGATGGAAGGAGAAGAAAGAATGACAGGATTTGAATTAGCGGATGGAGTTAAATCATCAGGAGAACCTGAGATCTGTCAAGAATATTCTGGAACATTAAGAAGAAATTCTATGAGGGAATGTAGAGAAGGTCTGAACATGGACTTTATGGAAAGTTACTTCTGCCAGGTAAGGGCTCTGTCCCATGCCTTCCTCCCCGTCTAGCTAGAACCCACTGCTGTACCCTAGGCTCCCACTGTTCCCCGGGGGCTTTGGCAGGCATCTCCTCACCAGGCTCCCAGCCTCCATGGGTGATGGCGCTGCTAACACTATAGCTAACCCGCTCACCGAGGCCTGCTGCTCCCCCACTCAGGAACAGCCACCGGCTCCCAGCTGTGTTTTGCCTATGGCATGAAGTCTAAATCCCTTCACATGGCAAATAAGCTTATTCACAGATGGACCCCTGTGAATACACGTCTCCAACTCCTCTTTCCTACCAATCCCACTTGTACAAATAAACCTAAAAAAAGCACAATTTTGTGTACTTCAAATTCAGCATTTTTAAGTACCTCCTCCTAACTTGGTTACAAAATAATTCATGTGATTTTTTGTGTGTGTGCTTTTGTGTCCAAAGTACACCATTATAAAGTCCACCTAAATAAATTTTAAAAATCAAGATATATTAGTGGAATTACAGTTAAAATAACTTCTAAGCAAATTATTTCATGCAGTTATATGATTTTTAGAACACCTCTAATAGAGGCTAGAATTTTGTTTTTTTCTATTTTTCTTTGGTAATGCCCTGTAAAAAAAACTTAAGATAAAGACTTCTATTGTTGTTAAATATGTATTCATGACTTCATTTTCTCTCTCCTCTGCAAATTTAGAAAGCATATGCTTATGCCGATGAAGACGAAGGGCGCCCGTCCAATGACTGTCTGCTCATATATGATATTGAAGGTGTGGGTTCCCCCGCTGGCTCTGTGGGCTGTTGTAGCTTCATTGGAGAAGACTTTGATGACAGTTTCTTGGATACACTGGGGCCTAAATTTAAGAGGCTGGCAGATATCAGCCTGGGGAAAAATGTCGAATCATATCCAGATTTTGATCTCCCTTGGCCTGAGAGCACTGAACCGATTTACCCTCAGCAGGGATCAGAGCCCGTTGCTAGTGGACGCCCACCCATCTCCCCATGCTATGGCACGACTACAGTCATTTCTGAGAGTGCCTACCCCTCTGGCCCTGGTGTTCAGCATCCTATGTCCATTCCTGACCCCCTGAGCTATGGTAATGTCACTGTGACTGAGTCCTACGCCACCTCTGGCACTCTGAAGCCCTCTGTCCACATCCATGACAACCGGCACGCCTCCAACGTGGTGGTGACAGAGAGGGTGGTCGGCCCCATCTCTGGTGCCGACTTGCATGGGATGCTAGAGATGCCTGACCTAAGAGAGGGGTCAAACGTCATAGTGACAGAAAGGATAATAGCTCCAGGTTCAAGTCTACCCACCACTCTGACCATCCCTGATCCCAGAGAGTCTTCCAACGTGGTAGTGACAGAAAGGGTAATCCGGCCAACTTCTGGCATGATGGGCAGCCTGAATGTGCACCCTGACCTATCCAATGCCCACAACGTGATTGTGACCGAGAGGGTTATGTCTGGCTCTGGCGTAACTGGATTTAGTGGCCCAGCGGGGATCATTGGTGGCAGTGGCACAGTCGGCAGTGGCCTGGTTGGCAGTGAAGCTGGAATAGGTGGTGGTGGCTTCGGGCTGAGCAGCCTGGGGGGAGGCGGAGGCCTGAGTAGCAGCATGGGGGGGACAGCCACCATCGGCCATATGAGGAGCTCCTCTGACCATCACTTTAGCCAGACCCTTGGATCCACTTCCCCTAGCACAGCCCGAAGTCGAATCACCAAGTACAGTACCGTGCAATATACTAAGTAGCCAGGGTCCCAGCACACTTTTTCTCAGAGATTGAGAGTTAGCTCCAATTCCCACCCCCAAAAAGCTGACAACGGGATTTGTGATGAGCAACCAGGTGCTAAGGAAAGTGTGGAGCACCGTTCCCTCCAACCACCAGGAGGAAAACAGACGGAAACGGGTTGTTGGGCAAGAGGCCTCCTTAGCATGGGTTCACCCTTTTCTTGAATTAGTCCCAGTGGAGTCACGAGACAGCATTCTCTGTGCTTCTGCGTGGCCTGCAGTGCATCTCCAGCATGTGGAAGAAAGAAAACGCAGCCAGGTAAAAGCGCTGGCCTTCACATGGCAGTTGGCATCAATCTCTTGCTATTTTTTGACTTGCTATGCACTTCCTGCAATATTTAAAAAGAACTACACATGCACTATGTGTTCGTGTATGTGGGAAGAGTTTGAAATTTGTGCCAAATGCCCTGTCAGTTTCATAGATAATATAAATAAAAATCCAACCACATAGTCAGACCACGGTTAACCATTAAAGAAACAAGAATCTGGCACCACAGCCAAGTCCACAAGCCACCAAGCGCTCCGACCTTAATAACTGCACTGGGTCAGACAACCCGCAGATGAGGGACTGTTTTCTGGGAGGGAAGTTCCATAGAGAGTGGCCACAGGGCGAGGTCCATTTGGGGTAAACTGGCCCATTTGCTCTGAGTCTGAATCTTGAGATGGGGCTGCAGCTAGAATTCTTCTGTCAAGACTTTCCTGCTTCTAGTTTGTGTTTAGTGTAGATGCAATAGTGACTGATACCGCCTACTAGGGAGGTGGCAGGATTTCACACCCATGTCTCCCTTTCCTGCTGCAGCTCTGACTTAAGAAAGGAGAAGTGCCAAGTGTGCTTCTCAGATTAAAGCAGAGAACACGTGGCACTGTTGTCCTCTCTAGCGGCAGGTCACCTCCCCAGGAAGCAGGCGGGAACTGCGCTGTATTCTCAGATTGTGTGTTTAGTTAAGTGTTGTTCATTTATATTCAGCTCTCTACTATACAGCTCCTCAGTTAAAATGGTTTACTTAAGCTGAGCTGCATGGTTAAGCTTTGGGGGAATTTTTTAAAGGTTATCCTTAAAAAGTGTTTAGAACATGTAAAATGTTTGCTGGGGTAAGTTAGAATTGTTCCGTCAAGTAATACTGCACTGTTAGTTTGAAGTGAATTTACTACTTTTTTGAACAGCCCTCTGTTGCTATTTTGAAGGGATCAACTAGGAACTTTTAACAGAGTCGATGATATTGTGTTAACACAAATGAAATTGTACTAGACAATCCCATTTCATTATTCTATCCCACTGCCAACTGACTTTTCGCACTAGCATAAACTTTACATTTCTGATTTGATTTGTCAATATGTTCTTGGTTTACACATGCTCCAATTTATAGATTCCAAATTATATCCTATGGCATATTTTTCTAGCTCTAAATTTTAGTAATGTACATTTCTGTGTGTTTGCTATACAGTATTACCTGGTTAAAGGTCTGTAAATAGAATCAAAGCATTGTTAGCCAGAAGTAAATTTACCATTGCATGGTAAAGGAACTTTTTTTTTTCGTTTCTAAATCCAGTGAGAATATGAGTTCATTAAAATAAAACTGGATATGACAACATCTTGTAAGGATTATTCCCCCCATTATTCAAGTTTCCCAAGGTTTTACAGATCAAAGAATATTCAACTTCCAACTCTTGTCAAAAGGGGTTGGGGAATGAATTATTTTACCTATAGCTGTTCTGCTCTATGTTATAGCAGATGATGTCAATATTTTCAAAGCCACAATATACATCTTATTTGAACTCTGTTGAATATGTACTGGTAAAATTGTGATGTTCTGTAGCATGCCAAATGCAGAGGTGTAAATAAAGTCATTCACTGGGAGTCTTTTATTTCTTTCTCCGTTTTGGGGGTTCCATTAATGATGGATCATTTTTCCAGAAATAAAGTCAAAGGGCATTTATTCAAATATACTTGAGTATACTTGGACCCAGGAGTTTGAAGAAAAAAATAATTATTAATCAATTATTAGTTAATAAGTTAAAGGGAGTGGTCACAAGTAGTTTTACTTGTTCCTTTGATATGACATGTCATAAAAAAGTGTTTTCTTGAGACTCCTGGTATCTTCAGGTATGTTTTTAGGTTGTCTAACAAATGCCAGAGTGACCATCTTTAATAACTGTTGATATTAAGATCCATCAGTTACATAAAACCATGGAAATACAAGAAAAAATAGCAGTATTCTTCATCAATCTTTCTAGGAAGATACTTTCAAATTCAATTGTTTGGGGGGGTTTTGGGGGATGGGGTTCTTTTTTAGGATTACACATTGATATTCTTTTTATTCCTACATTTTTTAAATTGCCTTTTAAGACCTCAACCATTATAACATGGTCCTTTGAAGGCATGTTATTTTCAATGAACAGACTTTGGGGGAGAATTCCAGTCTTCCCTTTAGGTGCTTTATTCTGAATCATAGACCTTAGGTTGTCCCATAGACCTAAGAAGTAGACTTTATTTTATAAGGGAATAATCATCATTCAAATCCACATCGCAAGCTGGATCTCAGATCAATTTGTCTTAACAAAAAAGAAGAAATAATGATTTAAATGTTACGTATACATAGTTCAAAACAGCGTTTAAAGTTTACAAAGTATCTGACTTCTACAGAGACAGTCCTTGGGGACAAAAATTAGTGCATTATAAGTATTTCTTTGATTATTTAATATCAACCAAAATACCGTCCTGAGCTCTTCTGACATTGAATTCCAGATATATCTGCTGCGTATCATTAACCTCTAGGTTACTTGATCTAACTGTATTTGCCCTGAAACATTTATAGAAAAAAAAAAAAGGTCTGAATTCAGGGCTATGTATTGGTCTTCATCAGAACATGTTTTATATTCATGTATAAAGTTCTTAGTCTCATAATCTTCATTCAAGTAACGCTCTGACAGAATTTTAATTATAGAGCTTCAAAAATTACATATGCACTCTGACTCGATGTTTTTAATTATTACAGCAACATTTGAGTGTCAGCCAATTTGGTAGGAGGTTAAGGGTGTAATGATCATTGGCTAAAATGGCCATAGCTATTTGGGAAAGACATTTGAAACCCAATAAACTTTTAAACGTGCTGCCTCATTTTCTCATGCCCATTTAATAAATTCCAACCTTTTTGGGATTTTTAGTATTCCTAAGCCCTGCTTCACATTGCACGGAGTACACAGTCCACCTAGATGACTAGCACCCAGGAAACAGAATCTGTCTCCCAGTTCCAGGTTATTCAATTTGTGTTAGCACAGAAGTATGAGTGAATCAGCCTATTAGCCATCAAATACGTTTAACACAGTCATCTATCATTTACCTACAGTCTCTCCACGTAGTTATATTAGAATTACTACACACTTCACCACTAAGCTGTACTTAGTCGAACTAGTTTTTCTTTTGCTATTTTACAAATATTTTAAAACTCTAATGGTGATCTTTGATAATGCTTAAAACAAGGTGCTTGCCTTCCAGTTTCAACATAAACGTTTGTGAATGATTTGGGTACCAGTTCCTTGCTTGGTCACCTGTTGGCTCTTTTAAGTTGGTTTGTAGTTTCCAAAGAGTTATGTTGGCAGCAATAAAGTGATTAACACTGTTTTATTATCCTTTCTGGGTTGTTAGGGGGCTGGGGAATAATGAGAGGTTAGCAAAGCTAGTTGTTATTTTCAGCCCAGACAAGTGAAGAATTTTTTACGCTTCACACTGTTAACATTTATTTTCACCGTTTCTTGCCTTTTCCGAGCTCATGTCTCCGGAGCGCTGCTTAGTCATGTCGGAGCACAGCCTCTACAGCCCCGCACGCATAAGTCCATGACCAACAGCTTGTACTTTTAGCATCTTTATGCTTTTTCCTTTCTTTCTTCCTTTGCTACTCTAATTTTTTATTGTTGTGTACACTAGCGTTTCATTGCTTTTAGAATGGCGTTTCTTTTTATTTGCGTTTGAAGTCAGACCCCTTCATCTGTGTTGGGGCACATCTCCTCTTTGCTCTCTGGCCACTTTCTGGACCATTATCGCCTCCAGCTTGCACAAAACCTCAGCCTTTTCAGACACATGGGATCTGCTTATACCCCCTCCCTTTGTTCTCCACGTGCCATGTACTGACCTCTGTCTTAATAATGTCCCCTTTTACTGAAGACTCATATTCTGGCCACGGAAGCCTGGCCGCAGACTTCTCCGATTCTGAGGGTGTTCACAGGAACCTCAATGACCACATAGGTGAGGCACTTGACACCCAATTCTTAGTCCCCAGACCCCCATCTTCCCCACTCCCCCTCAGCCACCCCCTTCCTTATCATAACCCAACATGGCAGCACCTCGGCTGCCTCCGTTTTACTTCCTCCTTATCGTCCCAGCTCACGTGCTTAAGTCATTAAGGAATTGTTGCAATTCCTCCCCTTCATCAAAACTCCCATGAGTTTCATTGGACTCCCACCACTTTCTCACTGGCTGTTAGCTTCATGCCCCTCCTTATCTAATCAGGCTTTCGGAGTCCTACTCTAGTCACCTCTTAGTGACTACCTTGGGCCTCCTGGCCCTGCTATCCCACTTACATATCCCAAATCTCTCACCCTCCAGCTCTGTCTACACACAAACAACTAAACAGATGATTCAAGTGAGCTGACTTTTTCATTTTAAGCACAGGATCTCAATCACAGAGTAACATCTCCGGCAGCTTTACAATCCTGATTCTGTGACAGGCGTCCCCTCTCATTAGACTGCATTACTATTCCATGCCTTCTTTGTCCTCAAACCTCCCACACCTCCTCTTTCCTTCTCATTCCTAGTTGGTGATCTAATCCTATTGTTTACTGAGAAAACAAGTCATCAATCTCGAATCCACTCATCTTCCTCTGCGAAACCTACACATCCACCTGTACGCACACTCATTTTCCCTGCCTATTACAATGGAGTTAGTGTCCTACTCATATAAAAAGACAATCCCCATTTGTGTACCAGAACTTTGCTCCTTCCCTAGTTTCTCTCTCTCTCTCTCTCTCTCTCTCTCTCTCTCTCTCTCTCTCTCTCCCTCCCTCCCTCCCTCCCTCCCTCCCTCCTGCAGCATTTTCATCACCACCCCTCCTTGTACCAACTACCTCCCTTTTACTTTACTTGTTTCACCAAACTTCTTAAGACTCCTGCACAGTTGCTTTCCTTTCTTTCTCATGTCCCATCAGACTTCCACCCTCACCCATCAGTCCATCAGAATGGCCCTTGTCAAGTTTGTCCCAGACCTACACATTGCCAAACACAAGGCCCACTTTTCTGTCCTTGTCTTTCATAACTTCCAGGAAGAATCTGAAATTCTCTCTTCCTTGAAACACTTCTTTCTTGGCTTTTATATATAACACTATCCTTTCAGGATATTACTTATGCTGTATTGGTCATTCTCTAATTTTTTTGTTCCCCGCCTACTCACCTTTTAAATGGTGATATTCCCCTAAAGTTTGGTCCCAAGACCTCTCATCTCAACATTCTACACTGTTTCTATGAGACCTCATCCAAGCCCCTGTTTAAGATGTTCAAAATTTAACTTATCATTTTACCACCCAAATACTCTCATCCCAGTGAATATGATCTCACTGACCCATTGTTCAAGCCAGAAACTAAGCACTTCTCCCGGATTTCATCCTTTTCTTCACCCCTTACATTTGATCCACCAGGTCCTATTGATTCTATAACAACATATATCTCAGTCCACCTAATAATCTCCATCCCCATCCACCACCACACTGCCAGAACTGCCTCTTAAGTAGTCTCTTTACTTCCATTTATCTTCAAATAATTTTCTACATATGAGGCAGGTGGCCTTTGGAAATATAAATTACATTAAATAAATTCTCTGTTTTAAGAATTGCAATGGATTTTCTTTGCACACCCAAGAATAGCCTATAGGGGCCTGCCTGGTCCGGCATGAAAGATGGTGGCTTGGACTAGGATAAGTTGTGATGGAGGTGAGAAGAAACAGACTGAAGAACTGCTTTGACCTTTCTTTGCAACTGGTATGCACTCTGCATGGAACATTTTCTTCCTCATTTTCATCTGGTTGCCTCCTTTCATCTTTAGGTAGCAATTTAAATATCATCTCCTCAGAAACTCTGTCCTTGACCAACTTGTTCATTCATTCATCATTTAATTATTCACACAGCAGATGAATGCCTAACAGTTGTGCCAAGCAGTGATGACATGAGAATGAACAAAACAATCCGTCTTGTCGTGGAGCTTGTATTCAGGATATGGAGGGGCCCAAGGTTTGACAGTAAACATGAAAATATATAGCGAGTTAGATGGCAGTAAGTGGTCAAGAGAAAATAAAGCAGGGCACGTAGGCTAGGGAGAGCAGGATGGGAGGGGTGTTCTTTATCAGGAAAAATTCTGGGCGGGCACACACTTGGGGTGTTCAAGGAAGAAGCAGGAGACCCACGTGGCTGGAGAGAGTGAAAGAAAGTAAGCAGAAATGCAGCCTGAAAGGTAACAAGGGGTGGGACCGTGGGACCTAGCAGGCCATGGGAAGAACGCTGACTTACTCTACAAATCTGCTCAGATTTGTATTTTTAAAAGGCCACTCTACCTGCAGTGCTGAAACTCTTGGAAGGAAATCACAGAATCACGATTAGTTAGGAAGCTTCTGAAATAACGGAGGTGAGTGAGTGGTTGTTGTAACCTATAGTTAGCTTTACTCCGAGGGACTCCTACTCCCTGGTTTGTCGGCAACAGGTTGGTAGCCAGTAAGTAACAAACATAAAACAAAAACCTTAGGCAGTTTAGTAAAGCAACATTTAAAAAGAAATTGGAAAAAGGGCCCTGAGCAATCAATTAAATTCAAATCTCAT